CTCTGTAACGCGAGCTGTGTGAACTGGTGCATTGTCCTGTAATATAATATATATTAGAATCATTTTTCTATACTATACAGTTTTCTAACATGTTGGAATATAACATTTTCTGGAAACACATGTCTAACTGAAGGAAACACATGTCTAACGGTCGTATAGCCGTTAATCTACCATCAATTTCCCAACATATTCCCGCACCATGAACGCTTATCAACTCCCAAACATTTATGGAAAAGCGTCCACTATTTGAGGTTCTTAATGTGTAGATATTCTCAATCTTGCGTCTCTTGGACAATATACACGCCACCTTCTATTATTGCAAGATTGGAACGTTTTTTCATCAGAAATTTTAACATTATTCCAAAATCCCTCTCCATAATTTAGATGGACTCTCCTGGACTTATTCTCGTCAGTTAAAAAAACCTTATGAGCAGCATCAAAGTTTTTTAAGCCAGCTGTTAAAGAGATCCTGGAAATTGTGTATCTTCTCGGACCTTAACTGCGCTATTAAAAGGATTTTGCCTAATATGTGCGACAAGAGCATTGACTTCATTTTCTTTGAAGATTTTACATACACCTTGCCTGATAATCTTTGTTGTTCTTGCCAACGTTTCTTGATATAAAATATGCAGCCTTTACTGATATTTAAATCTGCAGCCACTTCACTTAAAGACCAATTTTATTTTAATTTGGCTATTGTCCTGGACCTCTGAGCCTCAGTTAAGTGGGGTGGAATTTTTGATTTTGCAATTGACAACTATTATCAAATTTGACAACTACCGACGACACTGATGCAAAGCCCATATTACACAATTAAATTTTGTCGTTCACATTTCGGGGACGCCAATTGTACAACCTGAACTGCACTTTTTCACATTAAACTTAAAATTTTGCATTAAAATGCATTGTTGGAGCAAACTTAATATAACAAAACAATAATAAAGGCTTCATTTTCAATAAAAGTGTAGTTCAGGTTGCACTAGTGCAGGATAACAAACAAAGCTATTATAAATAATCCTAAAAGTAATGAATTTGAGGTTATTAAACAGTTTGATATTTTGGGGGTACCTACCAATACTTAAAAACTAAATGTTACTAAAAATCGTTTAAGAATGAGCTTCATTCTTCAACGATTTTGCGTGCGAGAATATGACATTCTTACATAAAAATCGAGAAAACCTATTCTTAAAATATTATTCCCAACACGTGACTTAAAAAAATATTGTAAATTTTATATAAATAATTTTGCTTCTTTACTTTTTATTGCGCAATAAACGGGGAGCCGAGATATTCAATAAAAACTAAAATAATGTATTTTTGCGTATATCTTTGTAAGAAAAAATGGCCAGGTTGTGCAAATTTGGTTTTAAGCTTTTCAAATAAGCCCCTATCGATTCATGAAAAAAAAACGGACAGTACCTCAGCACGCAAGTTCAGGCCATTTTTCACCACGGGTTGACTGGACTAAATTCAGTCTGTCCAAACAAAACTAAATTTATTAAATAATTACATTTTTTACAAAAAATCGCTTGGTTGGTCCCCTAAATCTTGAAAAGTCTTCCTCAGTCTGATAAAAATAATACATGCAAAATAAGCCTAGATACAAATTATTAGGGCATGGCAATGACATTTATAGTCTTATATAGTTTTAGTCAAAGTTTTATGGTACACGCAGACTAATCGCGAAACTAATCATTGCAGTGTTGTTCGTAGAAGCTTTTTAAATCCCTGCGCAGGCTTGCACATGAGAAGCCTTTTTTTTAAACGCGGGTCCTTACCATGGTCTTGGACAATGTTTGTGCTTGCCTTCCGGAAATACTCATTCGGAAAAATGACGGCTTTAGGCGAATATTGCACAAGATATTGTATGCAACGAGGTATACAACCAGAAATGAAATAAGCCTAACAAAATACTTCGCCTAATTCTTTAAGACTTTACTGGTCCTTACCATGTCCTAAGATTATGTTTTTGCTTGCCTTCCGAAAAAAGTCATTTGGAAAAATGACGGCCTTAGGCGCACAAGATATTGTATCTAACCAGAAATAAATGCAAATGGTATTTGCATCATTGCTAATTGCTATTTTAAAAGAAAATTTTCAAAATGTTTACTGTTTTAAAGGTTTCATTTCTATACATACAAAGTTTGTATGTGTATACAAAAAAATCTAACCGTTGCACAGTGTGTTAAATTAATTATCTAGCTAGACAAAACCTAATTTTAAAACAACCTGAAATTAAGACAAATTTAATTAAATAAGCTTCTTCAGTTCTCCCTGTTATGATTTCCATTAATTAGAACGTACTGCAACAGTGTATTCAGCACTATGCAGGCGTCAGTTCCGGGCGTATCATTTTTTATAAATATACTTAGCCGTGTATGTGTTGCAGAAAGGTGGAGTGATTTTGACATTGTTTCAAGTTAAATCAAATTTTGAACTTTGCCGCTATGAATCTAGGTATATATTACTTATTTTTTATAATTAGGGATTTATAATATCAGTAATCAGCAACAGGCTATATATATAGAAATTCACTTGGTGTTGTTAAATATGGACAATATTTATTAAGCAAGAAGTATTGTAATCGAGCAATATCGGGTGCACTATCCATATTTGTTTTGTTTTATAACGTCTAAAGATTACTTATGTGCCTTTATTTCTTGCCCCAATTTGCCTCTTCTACAGGGTGAAACCATAAACCGGCTCACTCCTTTTTAACTATTAAATTTTAAAATAGAGTTGAAATTTGGGAGCAATAATAAAGAGTTAATTTATAATTATTTCAACCTTCAATGGATACCACAAAACTTCCGGTTTCCCCGGAAATAATGCCAACTTTTGTTTTTTCAATGAAACCCTATGCACACCGAAAAAAATATATTCGTTGAGTTAACATTTGCCTAAATGTCATTTTTGAAAATGTTGTTTCAACAAAAAACCTATTGGATTAATCTATATTTTGGTGTCAAAGCAATAGTCAGAGTTTGTCAAAGTTTATTTGTTCATTTGACAATTTAAAATATTGATCTTACATGAACTAATTGTTTGAATTAAAGTTTTTATCCTATTTTGATTTAATAGCTGGAATTGGTTAAATCAAATACTAAAATTGTTGGGATTACCTAAAAAAACTATTAGATTAACGTTTAGTTGCTGTTTAATCCACAACATTAAATTTGTTCATTTAACAAATTGTAAATGTTATTTTAAAATTTAAAATGTTAAATTTGCATTCATAAAGTTGCCTTAACACTCTAAGAATGTTAAATTAACAAAATTAGCAGATTGGAACAAATATCCTAATTTTGTTCATTTGACTGTTATTTGTTGTTCAATTAAACAATACAATTTGACATTTTTAGATGGTTAAGTAAACGTGCAAAAACCATTGCTTGTATTTAAAGTGCATAAAGAGTTGAATTAATATTTTTTTTGTTGTTTCAACAGCTTATTTTTTTCAGTGCATATCTTTGCATATTTCAAATCAGGAGAAAATTTTGAATTCGATACTTACACTTTCAGGGGAATTTTATAATGATCTTAATTTTTTTTGTAATTTAAGTTTTCCATAAGTGTAATTTTCGTGGAAAACACTAACCGAATTTTTATGACATTGGTTGGTTTTGATTGGGGAAAACATATGTATTTAAAAAAACATTAACAGCCACTCTGATGGTATTTAAAAAGTTGAGTTAATGAAAAAAACAATTTATCAGCAACATTTACTATTTATGCATTTTACTGCAAATTTGGATGGTAAAACTAATTGATTCTCCAAATTGCAGCTTTCTGGATTGAAAACTAAAACTGGACAAAAATTCAAGGTCAATTGTAAAATGGTAGCGAATGTGCATTTATCGGATTCAAAATTTTCTCCAGATTTCAAATATACAAAAATATACAGGGCGTTTCTTTGGAAAAACGAAAGTTGACCAATTTTCGACGAAGCCGAAAGTTTATTTTTTATCACAAGGCGCCGGCCATTTTGTAATTAACGAATTTAATTTCTGCATTTTGGATGTCAGATTTGGATTCAGTGAACCCAAATACCCCGCTTCCAAAGAAAATTTATAATTTTTTATGTCATTTAGGTTTTGTCTAGCTAGATAATCAATTTAACACACTGTGCGTTGAGAAGATATTCGTAATGATTTTTAATTAAACGTTTAATTAAATTTTTTTAACTATTTTTGTAGGAAATTGAATTCTTTACAAAAAAGGACCAATGTGTTTAAGCGACAAGATCAAAATTTGAAGTATGTATTAAACATATTTTTTTAATAATTTGTAACTCATTGAAAAATAATTATTGTCAAATAGGTATGACATATTTTGTCGAAAATTTAACGCTCTACAAAAAAGGTCTGATGTGTTTAATTACTGATCCGAATATCTTCTCAACGGTTATAGAAATCAATTAAACACCTACAAAATATTCAAAATATCTTATAATCATTTGACAATAATTATAATTATGAAAAATAATTATTTTTCATTGAGTTACAAATTTATGAAAACAAAAATTAATAAATTCTTTAAACTTTGATATTAAATATCTTTTAAATGGCTGGAGTAATCGCATTGAATTTACTAAAAAAATATGTATAAAAATTAATAAACGATTGATTAATAATGAAATATGGTCTTTTTATAAGGGACTATAAAAAAAAATGGAAAACTGTGATGAGAAGCTCAAATTTGGTGAGCACTTTCTAGAGGTGCCTGAGAACCAATTTGTTAGTGTAAGAAGTAGAAAAAAAATATTTGATTTTTTTAAACACCCTAATCCATATGTATATTATTATTTGTTGCAGCTCATTAATAAATTGTAAAAACTTTTCTTTTGTTATTATAACAGGACATTTTAAATTTTTTACCACTTAAAAAAGCATATAATTTATACATAAAAGGTTTGTATGTAAAATTTCCATATACAGTATTCTTTATTGCTGCTCATTAACATATTGGAATAAATTAAATAAACTACTAAAATAACTTACCGGTAAATTCAAAAAACTCCTCTCTGGTTATCATGAAGGCAGCTAGATTGGCAGTATATATGGCAAGGAATACGACAGCAAACATTGCCCATACGTTGGTCATAAATCTGGAGGTAAAACCTCTCGGGGAGTCGACATGCACAGCAGCTTGAAACAACACTGCCCAAACCAACCAATAAGTACGAAACAACGAAAATCTGTGAGAGGCAGATGGAGATCCCTGCAATAAAAATAAAATATATTATGAAAAACCAAATTCAATATGCCATATGGTTTAGTCATTGATTAAATATACTCTTTACTATACGTTTAAGTTATCCAGTTATTTAATGAACTAAATGGCTATAATAAATAGCTTTATAACAATTAATACAAGATAATTATTGGTTTAAAATTATTTCTTTAATATCCAGTATTATTATTAAAAAATCAGGGTTCAAATTAAGGCGGTCCGGTACTATCCCCACGCATCAAAGTTTTACCACGTGATTGATATAAATAATTAAGGTTAATTTTCCTCCTATTTTTTTAAAATAATACATACCTACCTACATGTATTTTTTGTGTACAAAGGTAATTATAAAAATAATTAGTAATTTTTAGGTATATTTTGTCGAAGACGAAAACAAACAAATTTATACTTAAAATACGGTGCCTGCTCAATTTAAAGTATGTAACCAGTGACGTAGCTACCGAAAGGCTAGACGGTGCTGTGCACCGGGGCCCTCAAGTTTAGGATACTCGTACCTAGAGCACCAAACCTCGTTTTGAACTAGCTAAAAATTCTCCCACCTTTGGAATGTAATAAAATAGGTTGCAAAACGACTTTAAGGCATTACTGTAGGTCAGAGAGTTACTGTTTAAAATTTTCTAAAATTTATCAAATTAGTAGATTATGATTATGAGAACCAGTACAAAAATATTGAACATTGAGGCTTATGTGAAATCACAGTTTTTATTTCATTTTATAAAAAGTACCCTTTAGATTTCATTCAAAATTATAAAATGAGAGAAAATAATTTATAAAACATTTAAGACACAAAATTACTGCTTCAGAACATGTGGTAGTAATAATTGATAAATAAATGTCAAAAATGCTCTCTATTTTCCCGCTATTTTCCCTCTATTTCTTAATATTTACCACCTACTTCTACCTGAATTAACAAAGGGGTATTTCCACGAAACCTTACCCTACCTTGACAAAAAATCAGATGTGTTATTTAACAAAATAAAAACTATATCTGAAGTCAAATAGTTTAATTGCGACGTAATTTATAACCTTAAAATATTCTTACATTGTGATGCTAAGAAACTAACATTAAGAATAATAATAATAATAATAATAATAATAATAATAATAATAATAATAATAATAATAATAAACACGGAAGAGTTTTAATACTCGATAAAATGTCCAAATGTGGCACCCGTTACGATTTGAGAAAATTTTAGAAAATAAAGTATACAATATTTGTGCATTTTAAATACGTGCTTGTTTAAGGTTACTATTCAAGTTTTACAAAAAAAATATTACTATATGCTTTCATCCAAAATTTTACAGTATCAACTTTAGAAGCTAACTTGGTCGCATTTGCCGATTTTCTAACGCGCCCGTTTCGCGATTCATGACATTATAAAATATTTTCTATACAAGTTTTTATTGACATTATGATTGAGTTAAATATCTAATTTTTTATACTATTTTTGTACATTAACGCATCTTGACATATATAGACAAACACTTTATTATCATTTATTATCAGTGTCACACCCGTTACAATGGAAACACCCTAAGGTATTGACTATTCACCAATTCTGTAAAGAAATAATGAGAAAATATGGAGTGCTAGAATGCGACCTAACAGAAGTATTTACAGCAATGTTACTGTTTTATATAATTCCTGTCACTTCTGCAGAAGCTGAAAGATCATTTAGCAAATTAAAAATAATAAAAATTATTTAAGGTATACTATAGGCCAAGCCGCATCAAGCCTAGATTAAACCGATGTCATTAATACTCTTGCAAAAACTAAGGCCAGGTAGGCCTAGGTAGGTCTGACCACAATCCACACAACAAGGTCTGTTCGATCTCGTACTAAAAATACTAAAAATCACTGCAACACTGCACATCATACGATGGCGGCCATTTTTGTTGTTTACAATTCTTGTGCTTTGGGTTTGTACAAATTAATAATCGTTTTAAACGTTATGTTTCTTACAGAGAGACTTGCAAGCCTTAAAAGAGACCTCAAAGTGGTAAGAACAATCATTTTACTCCTCTTTTGTAAAAAATAAACCTTATTCTATCAGGGCTGTCAAATGTCAATTTGAAGGTTAATTTAAGGTTATTTTATAACCCCCCTGAATCCGAAAATGTCGTCAAAAGTTATATAAGTTTCTGAGATTTAGCCAACTTTCCAAATAATATAAAAGTAAAAATATCTCAAAAACTGCTTTACTTTCATAATTTTTTGGTATTTTCGGATTCAGGGGACAATTTTACATAATAATTGGCTCTTAAATGTTGGGGATACATGGTTAACCATAATATAAGTGAAAAAGCAGCCACTAATAACAGTAGTAACAAGGGTTGACAGATTTTGCAAATGAAAAAGCGGGACACCCAAATCTCTGTTAAAAAAAATGTTTTAGTTTCGAAAATTTCAAAATTGCCTCGAAAAAAAATTCAAAACATATATAATTTTTTAATTATAAAATTATAAAAAAATATAAATATAAATAATATATATAATCTAAATATTTAAATGTATTTTTCACATGATGGAACTTTTTCAAGAATTTCTTTTCCATTGCTTATTAAAAAATTAACAAATTCTTTACATGTCTTTTTATTATTAGTTTTGATCAATTCAACTTCTAATTAGAAAAAAAATGGGTTAAGCTTTTTAAGGATTTAGGTGTGGAGTTTGATCCAGGGTTAAGTTTTACTGCACATATAGAAAAAACTATAAACTCTTCATTTAGATCCTTAGGCTTTCTGATTCGAAATACGAGAACTTTTAAAAATGAAAGAACTTTTAAGACACTCTATTTTGCATTTGTTAGGTCTAAATTGGAATATGCCTCATTAATCTGGAGCCCGATTTATGAAGCACATAAAATGGGCTTAGAAACAGTGCAGCGCCAATTTCTCAAGCTGCTTCACTTTAAAATATACGGAAACTATCCTATCCAAGGGTTTGATCATGCGCTGCTTTTAGCAATATTTAATGTTAATTCTTTAGATTTAAGAAGAATTATTATCTCGGTAACTTTTTTGTACAATATTGTCCATGCCAATGTCGATTGTACAATCTTATTGGATAGGTTAAATTTTAATATACCTCGTAAAAACTCTAGAAATCAAATAACCTTTAGGAATCATAGAGCTAATACCAATATTGGAAAAAAATCACCGATTTACTACCTATATGTGTCAAAATTTTAACATGATTTTAGTAAACTGTGATATTAATTTTAATACTTTAAGTTTCATTATACAATTTGTTCTTGAATGTTGCTCTTCATAATCCGTACTGTACCTGATATATACTGTATTTTTTACCTATTTTTTAATTAATTTTAGCCAAAGTTTTTGTATATACCTTAATTGGTTTTTATTAATATTATTATTATTATTATTATTGTTATTATTATTATTATTATTATTATTATTATTATTATTATTATTATTATTATTATTATTATTATTATTATTATTATTATTATTATATTTTGAATATGAATGTCCTGTAATGGTTTAACTGTTGGGCAATAAAGCACTATTATTATTATTATTATTATTAAACACATTAATGTGTTTAAGCTTAACCCATTTTTTTTAAACTGTTCTCATCAAACTAAAAATTGTTTCGGTATAAAAAAATTAATTGAAGTTGGATGCTCTTTTAAAGAATGAGTCCACATTACATCGACATCTTCCGTGTTGTTCAAAATTTTAACAAAAGTAGGTAGTTGGACAAACTCCTCAAATAAAATGTCTTCATCAACAGAAATTTTAAATTGTGAAGCCAGTTCAAAGTAATTATTTAAATTACTAAACACTAAGCAATATCATGGGACTGTTCAGAATCAGATTAGTAGAATTTTAATAATTTAGTTTTTATCAAAATATTTAAGCATGAACGGAAAGGTTTTTATGTTGCCTTTATTTGAAGCGAAATTGGATGGTGTTCAGAAAGATCTTCTAAAATATTTTTTTTGCTATGGGGTCCCAAAGCATTTGTGAGTTTTGTTCTGCCACAAATAAAGCTACACTCAGCAATTACCTTTTTTGTGTCATCTCCCGTTCGATTAAACATTTTTTAAAGTGCATTTGTGTTTGCTAAATTTTAAATGTTCTTTTCGCCCCCATTACCCAGTGAAAATTAATGCTTGATTGCGATTGGACCCGATGCACACAATAACAAGTGATAAAATTGCCTTAAAATATGCTGATCTTTAATTAAGTTTTTTTAGACGTAGGTAGATCGTAATTTTCCTGTATTTTGTAAAAAATTTAAATTATTCCCTTTTTTCGTTCGCAATTTTGAAAGATATTTAAAAATCGGGATTTTCGACGTGCAAATTGGAAGGCGGGACAAATCGGGACACATCGATAAAAATCGGGACAGTCCCGCCTAAATCGGGACGTCTGGCAACCCTGGTAGTAACTAGTAATTTTTTACTAATTAATTTTTAGGAAGTACCTATTTCTAAATACCTATAGGTTTATAGAAATTGTATAAACGGGTTTGCCCTAAAAGTTCAATATTAAATTTCCTCTTATGACCGTTATAAACTTTTATTGAAAATAATGTTCGAAATAACTCAATCCAATTTTACGATGTATTTATTAATAAATAGATTGATAAACCTAACACTTTTAAAATGTTTAAAATTCGCAAAAAATATGGTTTAACAAACTGAAATTAAATTTTAATACTCTAACACTTTTAAAATGTTTAAAATTCGCAAAAAATATGGTTTAACAAACTGAAATTAAATTTTAATACTGTAAATTTTAATTTAAAATTATAAATAACCTAAAAAACTTATTTGTGTAGTTTACATACAAACTAGTGTACCTACTGCAGTGGCGCGCCATGGCGGTTGAAAAAGGACAAGCTGATTTGACAAAATGGACTATTTTATGTGAGGCACAAAAATACGTGCAAAATAATCTACGGTTTTTGCTTACTCAGCTACTAATTAAATAAAATAATTTAGGGAAAGATTCTAAGCTTTATATATATATATACCATGGATCTATTGAACAATAACATGTTTAATTGTTTAAATATAAATAAATTTGTCTTACAGCACATTTTTCGTTACGCGTTATACCTTTAATATTTTTACTTATTTCCCTCAAACGCGGGTTTCGGCGCAAATAAAATTAATTATAATTAGTTTGCCAAGGACTTTTATCTATAAAAAATATAATTATTAATGCATTAGAAAATACATATAAAAAACTATAAATGTACACATGATATACATAATTAATAGATTTAAAATTTAAATATTTGTATTCGTTGGTTTTACCAACAAAATATAAATTTCATATATGAAATTTATGTTTTGTTGGTAAAACCAACGAATACAAATTTATATATAAATTAATTTAATGATGTGATCAATGCTGTAAATAAAAATAAATCAAATTTTACCACTGGACCAGATAAAGTACCTGCAATTTTTATAAAAAAGTTGATCTGTTGTTTGCTAAAGCCACTTTGTCATATTTATAATCTTATAGTTAAAACAAATAATTTTCCAAATCAATGGAAAATTGCACATATTTGCCCAATATTTAAGTCAGGTAATAAGGATTACATTGAAATTTATCGACCAATTGCCATTATCTGTAATTTGCCATATATCACCTCAATTAAACCCAGCTCAGCATGGTTTTGTAAAAAAACGTTCAACTGTAACAAATCTTTGCAATTTCACAGAATATATATCTGAAGCTCTTAATGCAAAAAAAAACAAGTGGATATGATATACACCGATTTTACCAAGGCGTTTGACCGAATTTCCCATGGCATCTTTTTAAAGAAATTAGACTCCTTAGTCTTTTCTAGGTCAATGATTTCATTATTTAAATCATATCTTGTGAAGAGAGTTCAATACGTTAAGTTTAAGGGTGTAAAATCTGATCACGCTACTAGTGGTGTAACAAAGGGAAGCAATCTTGGTCCATTGATGTTTCTCATATTAGTTAATGATATTTCCTGTAATATTCAATCAACAAATTTTTTATACGCAGACGATTTCAAGATATTCAGATCAATTAATACGATACGCAAGACGATCTGAGTGTATTGGATGCGTGGTATGTAGGAAATCGGCTTTTATTAAATATAAAGAAATGTAATGTAATTGGTTCGAAAATATTTAAAAGAGTGGATACAATGCGGGATTTATTCTGTTTGATGGTAAACTTTCATTTGTTCAACACATTAACAATACAGTTGCATCTGCAAATAGAATGTTGAGGTTTGTGATTAGAAACTCTAAACACTTTACTAATATTCACGCTATAAAATGTTTATTTTTTGCATTTGTTCGAAGTAAATTTGAGTGTGCATGTGTTATTTGGTCACCATTTTACTTTGTTCATATCGATAATATTGAAAGAGTTCAAAAGAGATTTTGTAAATACTTGTTTTCTAAGAATAATGGCTATTATCTTTTAATAGTTTTTTATTATGAAAGCTTCACTTTTTTACCTTAATATGGAAAGTCTTGAAATGCGTCGTCGAAATGCAGGATTAATTTATTTATATAAGCTAATTAATGGATTAACAACTACAAAAAATCAATATTCACGTGCCTAGAGTAAATGCAAGATTTTGTCCAACTTTTTATTTAAATGCTTATACAAGCCACCAGCACATGCATGCTCCATTGGCGTCGATGTGTAGAACTTATAACCAAATTTTGAATAATTGTGATATTTTTAACCATAATTTAAATTCATTTGTTCGCATTATTCGCTCATTATCCTAAGTTGTTTAATTTATGGTATTTTGTCCTAATTGGGTATTTTAAATTTTTTAACATATAACTGTAATTTGTCACTGTAACCTAAATAATTTATATCCTTTATATGGACTGTTGTCTGTTGGATTAATAAAGTTTTATTATTATTATTATTATTATTATTATTAAAATAAATATATGGCTAATTAGTAGAATAATTTGTATGGATTCTTTAATAGTAATTGTTATTTAAGTAAATAAATTAATTTGAATATTTATTTCATTTTTACATATTTGTGTTATTTAATCACAAATCTTTGAGTTCTGTCGCTAGATATTTTTTTGAGTTTATAATAATTAAGGGGCTTGGAAGTAAAACGGTTCAAGTGCACTTTTTTAAATAAGTGCAGAATATCACACCTAAAGAATATTCTAACTTAGTGGTAAAATTATATAAGTACATTTTACATTCCCTGGCGCCATTTCTTATCGTCTTTAAAAACCTGTCAAAATATTTTAAAATATATCTTTGGTAAAACGATTTAAGTGCACCTTTTACTGCTAAACATAGGCTATTATCTATGCTGCTAAAGCCTTGACAAGTAGCTCGTTTCGACATATTGTGACCGGGGTCGGAACGACATCGGCCAGCGTTACGATTATGGCATCGGTCCAGACTGATGAGGATTCAACATAGTAACTATGTTCCTGACATCAATGAAGAAGTAGAAGAAGAAGGCCATGTAACTCCAGCAAAAACTAAAAACAGAAAACAAAGCCGCTAAGCACAAAAATTTACTTACCTTATTGGACTATATTCCGCCAATTTACCACTTATTTTATAAAAACATAGAGCACAATGGAGATCCATCAGAAAAAAAAGGAAAAAAAGAAACAAACTTAGACCATAGCATTGAGCCAAAAAAAATCCAATTTAGATCAACCCCAACCAATACTTACCCAAATTTTAAAAAATAAAGTTTTGTTCTAGTACAGTAATTGCATTTAAATCATTTTACCACTAAATTTTGCCTTACATGCATTACGATTCAAGTACATTTTTGTAAAAAAATTAACAAAAATCGAAATTGAAAAATTCTTTTTTCTTTATAATCCTCTTTAGTCTTTAAACAAAACTAAAATATTCACACAGTTTTTTAAACTCTTTTCTAGAATTTTAAAATTCAAGTTAACTTTAAAGCCATTTTTCTCAGAACTAACAAAAATGCACTTAAACCCTTTTACTTCTAAGCCCCTCAATTATATATATAAAAAATATACGCTGCTGTTTGCCAGTTAAAACAATATTACCGTTTTATAAAAAATAGTTCAAATAGATCTTATAATAGCATGAATAAAATTAAATAAATTAGATGGGTCGAAGAAATCGATTAATTTGTATATTCCAAAAGAGTTTTTTACGAGTTGCAAATTGAAGGGAATTTTAGGTATTATTTTTTAGTTAGAACTTACCTCGTTAAAGGCAAGTTTCATGTTAAATCCGCTTGGAGACAACCATTCAAACAAGAAGATCATGAATGTGGCCACCTGAATGGCGACCACTCCTACCAACATCCAAGAGGCGGTATCGAAGGGTTCTAAAAAGGCTGTGGGAGATATAATACCAGTACGTTTTGCAACAACTATTGCTATGCCAGTTTCCATAAAGGGAACACTAAAGTCCACCTGAAACAAAAAATATAGAATTAGTTAAGATAGCACAAGACAGTCTAGGGACGTATTATTTAGGTTATTCTAGGCTACAAAGAACTGTAGGTGACGCAAAGCAGACAGTCAGTTGTGCGCCTCGGACTTGCGTTGAAATCTAGAAGACAAAAAGACGCGTAGCCGGTTTGTTAGAATCTGCTTAGGTGGACTCACGGTAGGCAGAAAATTATGTGCGTTTATGTTTCTGTTACTGTTAAAAGTAAAAGTTTTGGTCTTCACTTTTATTTTGGCGACGACAACTAATTAAACTCAAAAGAAGATCTTCTTCCTCAATAAGCATTGCCAGCAAAAAATGTTCAGCAATTGTTATGATATTAATAAATTTTACCAAAATATTAATAAATATTTGTTGTCTGCACCTACCAGCATATAAACTATTTCAATTATAACAAAACACCCTCTCTTCAAAAACGAAAAAGTTGAACGCTACAGATTCTGCTAACCGCGTATGTTGTTTGCGGCGCACAGTTCTAACAAACCATAGCTTTATCCTTATTAGGCGTACTTTGGACGTTCACAGCAATTTTCGGAGGAGTAAAATTTAAAATATTATGTGAAATTATATAAACCACCTAGTATTATGAGGCTATTCTTTTGCCTTCTTCAGATGTTCGTAGGATAGCCTGAGGAGGTCACATAGAGTCAAACAAATCGATTTGCCTTATTAGAAGATAAATTCATTTACAACAAAACATAAGTTTATTATTAATTAGTTGAAGAACCTAACGTAATATCTATTCGTCGGTTTTATAAATTTAATTTAAAATTTCTTGTTTTGATTGGATTCTCCTTATCACGTAAAAGTAGTAAAAACCATTATTGCACTATTTATAAGTTAAATTAGTTTAATTCTTTAAATTAATTAAATGTATCATAAGGTGTAAGTTTCTTCCTATACTTAAAAACTTTATTTTATCCGCCCGAAGTCCGATTTACAACTAAATTTTACAACAAGCCTATATAATTGAACAATTTTTAGCAAGGAATCGTTTGTCCATGAATAATATACAGGGTGATTTGGAAGGATCGCACCGAACTCTAGGACTGCATTATACACATCAAAATAATAAAAAAAAACTCAACTGTTCTTATCCGATTCTTATTTGTTTTCAAGTTATAGCGAAATTTAAAAAAAAATTAAATTTAAAAAAATAAATTATTATCTAATGTTCTTTGAAAAACTATGGAAACAAAGTTTTTGTTTCCATAGTTATACATATTGTTTACATTTAAAAGGCCTGTCAGCGTCAGTGGTATTTTTGTAATTATCCGGTTTAAATTTTTTTAAAATGCCAAAAGTTTATTCAAATTTAGAGTATGCTAGTATGGTTTTTGTTTATGGCTTTTGTAATGGCAATGCCACAGATGCTGTAGAAGAATATCGGCGACGTTTTCCTTGTGAAAGGGCTCCTGACAAAAACATGTTTATTCGAGTTTTTAACAAACTTTGCGAGACTGGAACTCTTCCAAGTGCTAAAATAACATCTGAAAAAGCTGATCGACAAACTTTAGAAGAAGTGGAAAATATTTTGGATCTAGTGGAAGAAGATGCAACTACCAGCACCAGAAGAATCGCTACTCAATTGGACATTTCACAAAAACGGGTAATACACACACTTCACGAGCAAGGCTTACCCATACCATTTACAAAGAGTACAGTTTCTACACCCGGAAGATTATGCTAAACGTGTGGAATTTTGTCGGTGGGTAACTAACAATGAGTTGTATCGCGTATACTTTTTACTGATGAAGCAACATTTACCCGTGACGGCATTATTAATACGCACAACTCTCACGTATGGTCTGACGAAAATCCCCATGCTATAGTCGAAACCAATTTTCAGCACAGGATTTCAGTAAATGTGTGGTGTGCTATGATTGCTGGGTATTTAATTGGCCCTTTTATCATGGACAATCGCCTCACAGGGGAACACTACCTTAATTTTTTAATAAATGAGTTGCCAGGATTACTAGAAAATGTCCCTTTAAACGTAAGAAGGCGAATGTACTATCAGCATGATGGAGCCCCTGCACATTTCGCTCGTGAGGTCAAGCAAGACTTGAAAGAAATGTTTCCAGAGCGTTGGATTGGTCACGGAGGTCCAATTAGTTGGCCTCCAAGAATCTAACACCACTAGATTTTTGTTTATGGGGTTGGTTTAAAACAGAAGTTTACAAAGTTAAAGTGAATAATCGAGAGGCAATAATTCAACGAATAATTAATACTGGCCCAGTTCTTAAAGAAAAACAAGAGTTAATAGGACAAGCAACATGCGCTGTTCGCAGACGTAGCAGAGCATGTTTAGAACTCAATGGGGGTATTTTTGAAAACTTTATAAAAAGTCATAACTATTAAACAAATGTTACCGTTTCATTTTATTTATTTTTTAATTACGCTATAACTTCAAAACAAATGAGAATCGAATAAGAACATTTGAGGTTTTTTTAATTATTTTAATGTGTAGAATGCAGTCCTAGAGTTCGGTGCGATCCTTCCGATTCACCCTGTATTTTATATATCGATGGTTATTTGCACGGCGTTCTCTATACCAGGCGAGAGTGTAGCCCTCACTCCTGCATAAAAACTGTGACGTCACGAGGCCGATCGGATCAACGTACGCCTATTGTATTACATTGCTTTGCAACCAAAGTTATGGATTATTATTGCTTTTAAGGAGTATTTTTTACTAAATCAGTGGACAATGCATGAGTACATATTCTATCAAAATCAACAGAAGAATATGTACTAAGTAATTTATTGAAAACAAACAGAGAACTGCTATTAAAATAGTAATTTATTTAAAACAAAGAGAACTGCACACAAAAAATAATTCTGTAATTTTAAAAAACCTATTGTTTTGGATTTGTATATTTAAAATAAGTTTAGTCCAAGTTTTATAATATGGAATATTAAATAATAATTTTGTTAAGTTTAATTTATCTATTACTATTAAGAATAATTAGGTACTTCAATTAAATTTTCTTGTATTTAAATTTAGAAATTAAACTCTTTTAAATATTAAAGTTAACTTAAAATAAATTAATATATTCATTTAAAAAAAAATCAACAAAACAAATTTTATTTAAAAATAAACACAAGTAAACTTATATTTAATTTGAATTAAGAGTATAATATTTTTGCAAGTAGGTATATAACCATAAAAATGTTATATTTTTTATGTATGCTCTTAAAATAATTATTTATTTATAACAAACATAAAACTGCTATTAAAATAGTAATTTATTTAAAACAAACAGAACTGTTATTAAAATAAAAAATACAACGGTAAGCTACATCAAAGTTTTTAGTTTTAGGGGCGCATTAACATCTTGTTTTCTAGCAGCTATTATTTCCCAGATTCTTGTAATTAGATAACAATGACGCTAGATATTTTTGCAAGTGTGCTTATTACATATGCAAGTATCTTAAAACTGTTTTTATAAGAAAATATTTTAGGTAATTTATTATATAGTATTTTGGCATCAAAATTGTTTAATATATTCTTTTTTTATTAGGATATACCTACATTAAATATAAGAAACATAGGCAATATAGCAATAAGTAGACATAATTTTAATAATTGACTGTTGGGGACAGGACAAGGGAATTTTTTTTCTGCTGAATAAAAAAAAGGGCAGCAAGTGTTTTTTGCCCAGAGAGGCAAAAAACTTCGGGCTGGCTCTGACAATCGATAATTCATATGAAACTGTCTTGCATTACCGCGATAATATATTTATTTTTCTGTTGCCTGAACGCAACATTTTCTTGGTATAAAAAATACTTATAATGTTATAAAAGCCAGCAAACTAACGCAATATTTAAATCAACGTTAAATCGAGCGATATCAATAGTAAAGCAATAGATAATTTATATAAAACTGTCTTGTATTACCGCGATTATAAAAATTATTACATTAATTTGATATTGCAGTCGGCCTCCTGACGTCAAGCCTCCCACTACCACACTCCCGCCTGGTATACAGAACGCCGTGTTATTTGACAAAACGTCGTAAGCGACAATTTTGTTGAATTACTTTTTATTTTATCAAAGTGTCAGTTACGATAAGCTACACATGTTAACATAGAAGTTATCCCAATTTTGGAATCTAATATTGGTCAGTTTTTTATTTTTATTATTGTAAGCGCCTATTCTTTTTAATTAGTTACCGATTTATAACGTAAGCGCCTATATGTTCCCGACAAATAATCGTAAGCAACTCCGAGACATGGCGTTTGCGATTTAACATTGTGTCGCTTACTATAATATTGTGCTCCCGCCTTGATCTATCAAGGCGTTATTTCCGCTCTAAACAGTTTATTTGTGAGTATACCTGCATCGTGGTGATTGCTACCAAGTTTTAAAACAATATTTTATTTGATCAAAAGCTTATAATTCCTTTTTTTCATTGCATTATTAATAGTTATCCTAATTATAATTGTTTTTACGTAGTGTGGTTCGTTAAAAGTGTTTTTGTAGTAATTGTATGTTGTTATAGTGTCAAATAATTTGACTCAAATTTATAACGGTTAGATTATGGTACCATGGGTTAGATCATGAAGCCTACACAAGGAGTCCGAACATCATGTAAACAAGAATCTTCCTAAGATAAGAGGGCGCTGGTGTTCCGTTTATTTTGAAACAATTGTTTAATTTGTACCGAAACGCTAGCATCGACAATCAGCGCCGCTGGTGGTGAAAATTTTAACTTAACTTAACTTAAAAACTTAATTTGTACAATTTAGAGGGCTGGTTTTGTCAATTTACCCTATTAAGTTTGGGCTCCTTGTGTAGGCTCCATGGGTTAGATACTGGTTTGTGAATAAAAATAGTTCGTTTTTTTTAAAGAAAGCTAATGTAGAATTTCATTTTCAAACAGTGTTTGGCAAAATATTGTTGGTGATATTTTATAAATTAATTTAATTTTTTTGTATTTTTTTTATTTAATAATAAAAGTAAA